AAAGAAAGAAGAGAGGGAAAGAAGAAGAGAGGAGGCGAGAGGAAGAGGAGAGAGGGAGAAAAGAGAGAGAGGAGGAGGAGAGGAAAGAGAGAAAAGAGAGAGGAGAAAAAGAGAGGGAGAAAGAGAGAGAGAGGGATAAGAGAGGGAGAGGAGAGAGGGAGAGGAAGAGAGGGAAAGAGAGAGGAGGGAGGGAGAAAGAGAGGAGAGAGAGAGAGAGAGGAGAGGAGGGAGGGAGAGGAGAGAGAGGAGGGAGAGAGAAGGGAGAAGAAAGAGAGGAGAAGAGGAGAGAGAGAGAGAGGGAGAGAAGAAAGAGAGAGAGAGAGAGAGAGAGCGAGAGGAGAAGAGAGAGAAGAGAGGAGAGAGAGGGAGAGGAAGAGAGAGGAGAGAGAGAGAGAGAGAGAGAGGAGAGGAGAGAGAGGAGGAGAGAGAGACGAGAGAGAGAGGAGAGAGGAGAGGAGAGGAGAGGAGAGAGAGAGAGAGAGGAAGAGAGGAGAGAGAGAGAGAGGGAGAGGAGAGAGAGAGAGGGAGGAGAGAGAGAGGGAGAGGAGAAGAGGAGAGTCAAACCTCAAATCCAGACCCATCATATGAACACCACAGTAACAGAGACCACAGCTTTACCAGTTCACATGTTTATATAAAGTATTCTACAGTCTACAGTCAGTACTTCATCTGTAGTATTAACGTGGTGTACTTGTACTTCGTCTGTAGTATTAACGTGGTGTACTTGTACTTCGTCTGTAGTATTAACGTGGTGTACTTGTACTTTGTCTGTAGTATTAATGTGGTGTACTTGTACTTTGTCTGTAGTATTAACGTGGTGTACTTGTACATTGGTCGTAGTATTAACGTGGTGTACTTGTACTTCGTCTGTAGTATTAACGTGGTGTACTTGTACTTTGTCTGTAGTATTAACGTGGTGTACTTGTACTTCGTCTGTAGTATTAACGTGGTGTACTTGTACTGTAGTATTAGTTGTAACGTAGTCTTGTACTCGTGTAGTATTAACGTGGTGTACTTGTACTTTGTCTGTAGTATTTGTCGGTAGTATTAAGTACTTGTACTTCGTCTGTAGTATTAACGTGGTGTACTTGTACTTCGTCTGTAGTATTAACGTGGTGTACTTGTACTTCGTCTGTAGTATTAACGTGGTGTACTTGTACTTCGTCTGTAGTATTAACGTGGTGTACTTGTACTTTGGTCGTAGTAGTATTGTACCTTGGCCTGTCGGTCCCTCAGGGCGTGTGTGGCGGCGCGCTGGACGTCGCCCCCTGCTGACAGAAACGCCTGCTTCGCCTCGGCTTTAGAGATCTGGATCCCCCTGTCGCTCAGACTCCACTTCTCTTTGTTTGGCTCCTGAAAAACACAACGTCAGACGCTTTTCTCCAGGACTAAACCAGGACTAAACCAGGACTAAACCAGGACTAAACCAAGACTAAACCAGACTGACTAAACCAGGACTAAACCAGGACTAAACCAGGACTAAACCAGGACTAAACCAGGACTCCAGGACTAAACCAGAACTAAACCAGGACTAAAACCAGGACTAAACCAGGACTAAACCATAAACAGGACTAAACCAGTAAACCAGAACTAAACCAGGACTAAACCAGGACTAAACCAGAACTAAACCAGGACTAAACCAGGACTAAACCAGGAACTAAACCAGGACTAAACCAGGACTAAACCAGGACTAAACCAGGGACTAAACCAGGACTCTAAACCAGGAAACTAAACCAGCTACTAAACCAGGCTAAAACCAGGACTAAAACCAAGTTTAAACCAGAACTAAACCAGACTAAACCAGGACTAAAAGACTAAACAGGACTAAAACAAGGACTTTAAACCAGAACTAAACCAGGACTAAACCAGAACTAAACCAGGACTAAACCAGGACTAAACCAGAACTAAACCAGGAGTAAACCAGGTCTAAACTAGGAGTAAACCAGAACTAAACCAGGACTAAACCAGAACTAAAACAAGACTAAACCAGAACTAAATCAGGACTAAAACAGGACTAAAACAGGTCTAAACCAGGACTAAAACAGGCTAAATCCTGGATTAAACCAGGTCTAAACCAGGTCTAAACCAGGACTAAAACAAGACTAAACCAGAACTAAATCAGGACTAAAACAGGACTAAACCAGGACTAAAACAGGACTAATCCTGGATTAAACCAGGTCTAAACCAGGATCAAACCAGGTCTGAACCAAAACTAAAACAGGACTAATCCTGGACTAAACCAAGTCTAAACCAGGACTAAACCAGCACATTTTTTATTGTGTTTATTCTACTAAATTATTTTACTAATATTTCAAAAGTATCACATCTTTGTTTACTTTTAGTTTACTTTTATTTTTCTGAATTTAAAGCTGCACTGTGGAACTTTTCTGGGTTTCTTTATTTCTCTGCAATGGAAAGTTCCGCAGTGTGGCTTTGTGTGACGTGTACTTGCGGGTCGATTCTCCGGATTATTCTTCAGATTTTCCGCATGTAAATCGCGTTTTGTCGCCGTGTCTCGTCGCTGACCGTGTGCTGCGCGTTGCTCCGGGTCTTGTCCTGCAGCGTTGCCGTGGAGACGAGGACCTGGATCTGGGCCAGGACTCGGGGCAGGTCAGACTTCATCCACCTCCAGGGCTGAGGGTCCTGGGACAGAGTGAGGCTGGTGTACACCTCCTCTGGGCTGATCCCCTTCTTCTCCCCCTCCTGGAGAGACAAAACAGACAAAAACAATCAGAGAGAAACGTAAAGCCGCATCATGGAACTTTCCTGGAGGTGGAACGTCAAATAAAACGCCATAAAAATCACAATTACACACATAAATCTTGTCCGTGGAGAGAGAGGATTTTTACACCAGACTGTGGAAGATTAAAGCCCGAGAAAGAAGATTTAGAAACTTTTTGACTAAAGTTACAAGGCGACGTTTGAAAGAAAATACTGGGCCTCAATCATGAATCTAAACCAGGACTAAACAAGGACTAATCCAAGACTAAACCAGACTGATTGAACCAGGACTGAACCAGGACTAAACAGGACTGAACCAGGACCCAGGACTAAAAACAGGTCCCGTTCCATCCCGGTCCCAGTCCCGGTCCCAGTCCCAGTCCAGTCCCCAGTCCCGGTCCCAGTCTCCCCAGGTCCCAGTCTCAGTTCAGTCCTGGTCTCAGTCCTGGCCCTGGTCCCAGATTCATCCTGGTCTGATCCCGGTCTGTTCCCGGTCTCAGTCCCGGTGCGGGTCTCAGTCCTGGTCTGGTCCCGATTTGTCCCGGTTCACTCCTGGGTCTCAGGTCCCACTCAGTCCCGGTCTCAGTCCCGGTCTCAGTCCCTGTATGGTTCCAGTCTGGTCTCGGTCTAAGTCCGGGTCCCGGTCAATAAATTAATCAGTCTTTAAAATCGGAATAAACCAAACAGTTACTTCGGAATTACGTTAAATTCCGAATCATCATTTTCATTCGGAATTAATTGTTTACATGGAATTTTAAAATTAAATCTCTCATGTGAACGCGGAAAATGTGAAATATTCCAGACAAAACAAAAACATCTCCACTGAAAAAAAGCGTTTGATGGAAAAGTTCCAGAGTGCAGCTTTAAATCCGACTCCTCACAGGGCCCTCGTGCCCTCGTGCCGTGCCGTTGAGCCTCTCACCCGGATGAGCTGGATGAGTTTGAGTCCCTCGTCCTTCAGGATTCTCTGGCGTCTCGTCTCTTGGCTCTCGGGGGAGGGGTCTTTGGATTTGATTGACAGCGCGGGGACCCTCCTGACGGGCGACGGCGGGCGGCGGTTCAGCGGCGGCGGCTCCGGGCGCGGCAGGTCGCACATCTCACACACCGTCGCCGGGGAGTAGTTCAGGTACGTGCAGAACTGACACACCCACTGATCGACGAGAAAGAGGGAGAGAGAGAAAGAGAAGAGAGATAAAGAAGCAATAGAGGGAAGGAAGGAGAGAGGGAGAGAGAAGGAGAGAGGAGAGGAGGAAGGAGAGAGAGGAAAGAGAGAAGGAGAGAGGAGGGAGGAGGGAGAGAGGGAAAGACAGGAAAGAGAGGAGAGAGGAGGAGAGAAAAGAGGAGAGGAGGAGGAGGGAGGAGAGAGAGAGAAATGAGAGAGGAGGGAGGAGAGAGAGAGAGGAGAGAGGAGGGAGGAGAGAGGGAGAGAGGAGAGAGGAGAGAGAGGAGGGAGGAGAGGAGAGAGAGAGGAGGAGAAAGGGAAGAGGAGAGAGAGAGAGGAGAGAGGAGAGAGGAGGGAGAGGGAGGAGAGAGGGAGAGAGAGAGAAAGGAGGGAGGAGGAGGAGAGACGGAGAGGAAAAGGAGAGGAGGAGAGGAAGAGAGGAGAGAAGGAGAGAGGAGGAGGAGAGAGAGAGGGAGAGAGGAGGAGGAGAGGAGGGAGGAGAGAGAGAGGAGGAGGAGAGGGAGGGAGAGAGAGACGAGAGAGGAGAAAGGAGGGAGGAGAGAGGGAGAAAGGAGGGAGAAAGCGAGAGAGAGGGAGAGGAGAGAGGAGAGAGGAGAGAGGAGGAGAGAGAGGAGAGACGGAGAGGAGAGGGAGAGGAGAGAGGGAGGAGAGACGAGAGAGGGAGAGAGGAGAGAGGAGGGAGAGAGAGGAGAGGAGAAGGGAGAGAGAGAGAGAGGAGAGGGAGAGAGAGGAGAGGAGAGGAGAGAGACGGAGGGAGGAGGAGGGAGGAGAGAGAGAGAGAGAGAGGAGGAGGAGAGGAGGAGGAGGAGAGAGAGAGGAGAGGAGAGAGACGAGAGAGGAGAGAGGAGACAGGAGGGAGGAGGAGAGAAGATGAGAGAGGAGGGAGGAGAGACGAGAGAGAGAGGGAGGAGGGAGGAGAGGAGGGAGAGAGGGAGAGAGGAGAGAAAGGAGGGAGGAGAGAAAGAAGGAGAGAGGGAGAGAGGAGAGAGGGAGAGATGGAAAGAGAGAGAGAGAGAGAAATAAAGGAGGGCGAAGAGGGGGAGAGAGGAAGGAGGAGAAACAGGGGGAGAGGCGGTTAAGAGAACTCAAAAGAGGGCAGGGAGTGAGGGAAAGAGAGAGCAGAGGAGGAGAGAAGAAAAGAGGAGTGAGGAGAGAGGAAGAGGGGGTTAAAGAGAGCGAAAGAAAGGAGGACGAACAGAGGGAGAGAGGGGTTTAAGAAAATGCAAAAGATGGGAGAGAAGAGGGAGGAGAAAGAGAAAGAGAGAGAGAGAGGAGAGGAGAGGGGGGTTAAAGAGAGAGCGATAGAGGGGAGGAGGGAGTGAGGAGAAGGACAGTAGAGGAGGATGAAAAGAAAGAGGGTTGGAGGGAAAGTAGGAGGGAGGAGGAGGAGGATAGAGGGGGATGAGAGGAGGAGAAGAGGAGAGAGAGAGAAACGGAGGAAGAGAGGAAAAGAGGAAGAGGGGTAGGGAAGAGGAAGAGAGGGAAAGTAGGAGGGAGGAAGAGGAGGATGGGGCGTGAGAGGGAGAGGACAGGAGGAGGAGAGGAGAAGGAGAGGGGAAAACGAGGAGGAGAAAGGGAAGAGAGGAGGAACCGAAGAGAAGGAGATGAGAAGGGAGGAGAGGAGAAGAGGATGAAGAGAGAAAGTAGGAGGGAGGAAGAGGTGGCTAGAGGGGGATGAGAGGAGGAGAAGAGGAGGAAATGAGGAGGAGAAACAGAAGAGAAGGAGATGAGGAGAGAGGATGAAGAGAGGAAAAGAGGGAGTAGGGCAGGGAGGAGGATGAGGAGGATAGAGGAGGATGAGAGGGAGAGGAGAGGAGGAGAAGAGGGGCAAACGAGGAGGAGAAACAGAAGAGAGAGGAGGAATAGAAAAGGAGATGAGGAAAGGTGAAAAAGGAGATGAGGAGAGAGAGAGGAGGAAAAAAAAAGAAGTGGAGAGGAGGAGTGTATGTGTGACCTGGCTGTCTGGGTCCCCGGGCATGCCCAGCACGGGGGCGGGGGGGCGGGGCGGGGATGGGCGGGTGCGACAGGGTGACGGGCGGGCGCGTGGCCAGACGGGGGCGCTCACACACTTCACACAACACACTGCTGGCGGCGTTCACCACGGTGCAGCTCTTACACTGCCACTCTGAAAAACAACACAACAACACACAAAAACACACAAATCAACAACAACAACACAAAATCAACAACCAACAAACAAATCAACAACAACAACAACACAAAATCAACAACAACAATAACACAAAATCAACAACAAGCAACAACAATCAACAACAACAACAACAACAACACAACAACAAACACAACACAAAATCAACAACAACAACACAAAATCAACAACACACAACAACACCAAAATCAACAACAACAACAACACAAAATCAACGACAACACAAAAACAACACAAAATCAACGACAACACAAAAACAACAACACACAACAACAACAACAACAACAACAATCAACAACAACAACACAAAATCAACAACAACAACAAAACAAACAAAACAACAACAACAACAACAACAATCAACAACAACAACAACAACAACAACAACACAAAACACAACAAAAACACACACAAAAAATCAACACACACAAAACAACAAAATCAACAACAACAACAACAACACACAACAAAAACAACAACACAAAATCAACAACAAAAACAACCACACAATATCACTCTTTCACCAAGTCATTTTATCACAGCTCTTTTGTTGTGTCCTTGGGCAAGACACTTCACCCCCTTTTGCCAGTTTGATCACTTTTATTTACTCACTGGGAAGATCAAAGCTCCTATAAAATACACAAAACTGACTCTTGTGAAATCTGTGTGTCGTTTGATCATTTGTTTTTTCAAAATAGATCTCAAGTCACAGGCCTCAAGTCCGAGTCAAGTCCCAAGGGTTAGTCCATTTTATCAAGTCAAGTCTCAAGTCCTAAAAATAGTGACTCAGGTCTGACTTGAGTCCAAGTCACGACTTGCAAGTCCCAACCTCTGATAGAATTCGTCCATTCGTTTTTCAGTATAAAACCAGGACTGAACCAGGACCAAACCTGGACTAAACCATTTCAGTTCCAGTCTTTTCCCGGTCTCAGTCCTGGTCTCAATCACAGTCTTGGTCCCAGTCCTGAACTCAGTCCTGGTCTGGTTTCTGTCTGGTCTCAGACCTGGTTTAGTCCTGGTTCACTCCTGGATCAGTCCCGTTTTAGTCCTGGTTCAGTCCTGTTTTAGTCCTGTTTTGAGTCCTGGTTCAGTCCTGTTTTTAGTCCCCTGTTTTAGTTCAGTCCTGTTTTAGTCCTGTTCCTGGTTCAGTCCTGTTTTAGTCCTGGTTCAGTCCAGCGTTTAAGTCATGTAAACGGGAAACAGTGTAATATGGGCTCATTAAAGGGTTTGGGGATTAACTCTTCTTTATAAATAGTATTTCCCACAAAACTCATTTGAATTCACATGAAAAGAAACTTTTTTTTAACTAAACCCAAGTACCAAAGACTCTTCTAAAGTGTGGATCATTTTCTGTTTCCTGGGTCAGTAGGGGGCGCTGTGTCAGAGGTGATGTGTGTGAAACAGAACAGACCGGTGATGGAGGAGGGGGGCTTGTCCTCGGCTCCCACCCCAGAGCTGAGGCCTCTCCGTGGGCTTTCACACTCCTCACACAGCACCTCGTGACTGGAGTTGGTCTTGGAGCAGAGCGCACACTTCCACGAAGAAGAACTGCTGCGAAACAACAACACAAAGTCGGTTTCAGCGATGAAATCCAGCGTGTTTAAACCTAAAACACCTCTCTCTGATCTGAACAGTCTCTCAAATTCTGGAGGTTCTGAGCTTCTCAAACCTAAAACAAAGAACAGCAGGGGGAGCAGGTCAGGTCCAGGTGTGAAATCTCTCATTATGGGCTTGAATGATTCTGTTAATACAGGAGTCTCCAACCTGTTGCTCGGGAGCTGCCTGTATCTCCCCACCCCCTTCAAGCAGCTCACCAAGGGATTTATGAACTACACAGATTGTGCTGAATAAGCAAATTTTTATAAATCAAATGCCTGTTACTAGGCCTGTAACAATAATCAATAAATCAATTAATTGTACGATAACTTTTAACAAGCTCGATAACTTCTCCGGCCGTGATAAATTCTATTTGCATGTTTGTTTGTTTTCCTCGCTCTCTCTCGCTCTCAAAGAGACTGAATGTTAGACGTTTCTATCGCTCTGACTCGTCTCGTTTAACAAGTGTAATGACGCTTGAACCAACGTGTGCAGTGTTTATCGACACAGTGGACACGTGCGCAGCCTGAGTGCAGAAAGCTCCGCTGTCTGTGCGGTGAACATGAAGCACAAGCTAACGCCGCTGTCAGAGTGACAAATCTGTTCATCTCCGAGTGCCAAAACAAGTCACGATCCTGAATCAACACTGGTGACCCGGACACATCAACAGCCACATGCGTCAAATACAGCGAAACGCAAACGACGAGAAGAAATGTCTAAAACCCAAACAGCCGACATAAACCCAAACCTGTGCGACAGAACTCACCCTGCCCGCAGGACGACCAACACGATACAGACAGGACAGAGACTCTTATAGAGAAACAGGATCCTGTGTCGCGGGTTAATACAAACACTTCAAGACCAAAATGTCGAGGCCACAGCAGCAGCCACAGAGAGACGAGACACAATATTCCAATGCAAGTAAATGACTAAAATAACTTTTAAGGGTAATTTTTATTACAGAGATTTAATAATCCATTTTATTTATTGTTTTGGTTGTGTTTGGTTCAACAATAGTTTATTCAAGTGCATTTTTTAACAAGTCCTCACTGTGAGCCAGACACATTAGGTTAGTCCTGTGTTAACAAGTCTGTTTTATTTAGGCCTGTTGTTTTTGGTTGTCTTGCAGTTCCTGTGTTATGTAAAGTTTATTGATCTTTGAAAGGGTGTGTTTGCATTTTTATTCCATGATCGTTATAATAGTTGAAATTGGTCTCAAAATGTCAATATTATCGTTTATCGCAATAAATTCTTGGTCAATTAATCGTGCAGCAAAATCTGTTATCGTTACACACCTACCTGTTACCATTGTACATGTACCATTTTGATGCCAGACTTTGTGCACCAATAAATGGATAATGGTTTTTGTTTTGTAGGCATCTAAGTGTACCTCATCTAAGACACGTTGTGGCTCTTATGTTTACTCCATTTCTTGTTACCGCTAAAACTTGCAGCTCTCTGGCATTTTTGTTTTGTAAAAGCAGCTCACTGGAGGAAAAAGGCTGGAGACCCCTGCGCTAACATGACCCCACACTCAGTGCATTTCAACAGGCCGAGCGACAAACAGAAGCTGTAAACAAGTGTGTGTTAGTTTCAGAGTAGTGTCAGTGTAGTTAGCTCCTCCCCGTCCAGCAGCGTCTGACCAGAACTGAAGAAGCAGCATTCTCCTTTGCCGTGGATTCGACCTGGACGACTGAGGGATTCTACTCATCGGTGAGGAGGATACAGACCTGTGCTTCCTGGTCTTGGCTCCAGGGGGCAGCGTGGAGGTGACTTTGGTGCGCTGGTGTCCGGCTCGCTCTGCGCCGCTGTGGTACAGTTTATCACACTCGGAGCAGAGGCCCTGAAGACACGAAACACAGTGTACGGAGATACGGAAGATCCCACAGATGGAGCAGTTCTCTGAAGGGAAAGAAACGAGGAATCAGACCCACAACCTCCAACTCTGCCACAGGAAGGACACGCACACGACACTCAGAAACATCAGGAGTCGAACCCACAGCCTCCAACTCTGTCACGTTTACATTAGAGCTTTAATTCAGAATAAAAGTAATCTAATTCTGACTAAAACTTAATTCTGCTTTAAAAAGTCCATGTAAACACTTAATTCCTAATGAAAATGGTTATTCGGAATTAAACTTAATTCTGAAGTAACTAAATCCGTGTGTCGTTCGTTCATTTGTTTTTCAAAATAAAACCAAAAATAAGAAAACAAAAAAAACAAAACAACGATTTTCTTCATTATTTGTCTCCAAAACTAAAATGAAAAAAATGGATAACAGCTGTTTCCTGTTTCCGTGAGTTAACCTGCGATGCCGGACTTTTGCGCCGCATACGGACTGAACCAGGACTAAACCAGAACTAAACCAGGACTGAACCAGGACTGAACCAGGACTGAACCAGGACTGAACCAACCAGAACCAAAACCATTTTCAGTCCTGTTCTGTTCTTTGCCTCAGTCCCAGTCTCAGTCCTGGTCCTGTTCCCGGTCTCAGTCCTGGTCCTGTTCCCGGTCTCAGTCCTGGTCCTGTTCCCAGTCTCAGTCCTGGTCTGAGCCCTGGTCTCAGTCCTGGTCCTGTTCCCAGTCTCAGTCCTGGTCTGAGCCCTGGTCTCAGTCCTGTTCCCAGTCTGGTCCCGGTCTAAGTCCTGGTCTCAGTTCTGGTCTGGTCCCGGTCTGGTCCCGGTCTGATCCCGGACCTGTTTTAGAATTGTTATTGTTTTTTTCATTTTATCCAGTTTTTCATTTTAGTTTTGGAGACAAATAATGAAGAAAATAATTGTTTTTAATTTTCTTATTTTTGGTTTTATTTTGAAAAACAGATGAACGAATTACACACGTATTTAAGTGTTTGGTTTATTACGATTTTAAAGCTGAATGAATTTCTTTCTGGATCATGTTTCACGTTTATTCTTTTTAAAAATAATCCCGGTGGTTCAGTTCATGCTCGTTGTGTCGTTCTTCGATCCGGCTCCACCAGTCGTGTCTTCGGACTTTGATCCACGTCTCTTTGGATTTGTGAGTGGGATGCGGGAGTGGGCTGAGGTAGAGCAGCCTCACGCTCACTTAGTCTTCTTCCTCACTTCTCCTCCTCAGCCGACAGACGTAAAGTGTGATGAGACAATTCTCCAGCTGCTGCTTCACAATTATCATCGGAACCACTGCGGGAAAAGTTTGGGTGGTGTTTGTGTCCGTGGAGCAACGACAAACCGAGATGACGGAAAAGCCGGGAGCAGCTGAAATGTGTGTTTTCTTCCGGTCGATGTAAAAACGTGATCAAACAAAGATGATTTAATGTTTTCCGTGTAAACTCGAAGGAGAATATTTTAATTCTGAACTATTTAATCCAGAACAAATCATTCGGAATGAAAAAACCTCATGTGAACGTGGGCATAAAGAGAGAGGATGACCACAGGGAGGACGTGCACGCTCCACTCAGACAGATCAGGAGTCGAACCCACAACCTCCTCGTACCTGGGTGCTTGGGCTGCATGGACTTGGGCCCCCGCTCGGCCCCTGTGTGCGAGGGGCCCCTGGAGGAGTGGTGTTTGGAGGGGAACCCCAGAGATTTACTGTGTCCGGACGAATGAGCCGAGAACTGAGAGCCGACGACGTCCGTGTTCAAACCCACGTCCTGGAAAAGACGGAAAACAGCGACGTGAGGGAATATTACAGGCTGAAAATTATCTGGAATTTTCTTTATCTGAATACTTAAAGGTGCATTGTTGGCCTGGAATGTTTCACAGCATGGCATTAAACTTTTCTATCTTCATTTCTTCATTCTTCAAACCTAGCTTATCCTCAAGATGCACTAATCAAGACCAAGACCAGTCCCAGGCCACAGGGTCCCGAGACCAGGACAAGATCAAGACCTCTGAGGGTCGAGACCGAGACAAGACCAAATCCAAACGCCTTCGAGACTGAGACAAGACCAAATCCAAACACCTTTGAGACCGAGACAAGACAGAGTCCAAACGCCTTCAAGAGCGAGACAAGACCGAGTCCAAACGCCTTCAAGACTGAGACTAAGACCGAGTCCAAATGCATCAGAGTCCGAGACGGGACCAAGACCATAAAAAAAACTGTCTCGAGGACCAAGTTACAGGTCAGATAAATTTTTTTCATGCGTTTTTGAACTCTAAAACCACCTGTAATTGAATAAATGTAAGGTAGAGCTGTTTAATGACACACTGTGGAACATTTCAGGCAGAGCAATGACATCTCCAAAGAAACGAGCAGGTGACGAACCAAAAAGTGACATCGTTCATCTTTAAAAACACTTACCTTGTGTCTGAGCGTCGGGATTATTCTCTCATAAAACTCTGGATGTGGATGGGCCTCCTGCGCACAAACACACACAAACATGTATTTACAGTTTAACCTGAGCTGGAGACAGGTGAGACAGGTGAGACAGGTGAGGCAGGTGAGGCAGGTGAGGCAGGTGAGGCAGGTGAGACAGGTGAGGCAGGTAAAGATGGAAATGAGCCACACTCACTATAGTCTTGTTGTGCATTAAGATGTGTCGTGGTATAGCGGCTCAACAGCCCCCATCCCTTAGAGTTATAATATTTCCAGCGGCTCTGAAAACTCTCTGATGATGCGCAGATGCACATGTGCACTGGTTGTCGTGTGGATATAGTGTATATAGTTGAAAAGCAGCATTTGGATTTGGAAAAAGGGCTGCTGCATCTCTTCAGCTCTCACTGTGGCAGCTTAGGTCAGAGTCCTGCACCAGGTCGGGTACCCGTGGACTTAAAGGGCCCATCTCATGTAAAATCAACCTTTCACAGTTTTCTACCTTCTAAGAGTGATGTGTGGGCTTTGTATTTGTCACTGAAGTGGTTTTTAGATTTAGTGTATTTTTTAATAAATTGCAGCGTATTTCTGCCACCCTCCCACGTGACAACAAACTAAAGCTGCTACAACGAGGACGCGGCAGATACACCTATGCAACGTTTGACGTAGCAGAAAACGCTTCACTCCCGACCCCCTCCCCCGCTCCACCACCTCGCCCCACATCGTCTGACAATTCCTACATGAACACCTAAACAAAAGCGACAGCATAAGCTCATTGTTCTACACTGCAGTGTTCATGATATAATAAGTTTATCTACTAGTGTTTATTAATCCTTTACCAATCAGTAATGTTCAGCTGATGTGGACGCGGTGCTTGAGCTTCGTGCTCCTCAAAGTCCTCGTCCGATTCCGGGTCCAACACATGCAGCTGAACGCGCTGTATCTCCATGATGAATAAAAGTTTATTCCTACACTATCAGGGTGCACGTCTGTCTCCCCCTCCCTCCCTGAGATGGCGGAGGAAGGGCGGCTCACTCGTCGCTTTGGAGGGCGGAGCCTGTGCTTTCTCAGGACGGGCGGGGGGAGGAGCAATAATCGGACTTTCATAGTTCCTGGTCTGAGACTGTCTCCAAGAAATCAGTAAGATTTAACAACTATTGTGTCATGGTTGTTCCAAAACCCAAATTGTGTTTGTTTATGTGCCGAAGATACAATGTGAAAAGAATTATACATTTTTTTTACACATTAGAAATTTTACATCAGATGGGCTCTTTTAGAGACAGAACCCCGAGCCCACAGAGCAGGTTTCCACAGAGCGCGATTGGGCGACGGCTGCGTTTACCTCTGTGCAGCACAGAGCTCTACACCGGTCCTTTCGCCTTTGGTCACCTGATGGTCTACGAGGGCGCACCTCTGAGAATGATTAGTTCTGGTTCAGTTCTGGTTTAGTTCTGGTTTAGTTCTGGTTCAGTCCTGGTTCAGTCCTGGTTCAGTCCTGGTTCAGTCCTGGTTTAGTTCTGGTTCAGTCCTGGAATCAGTTCTGGTTTAATCCAAGTTTAGTCCTGGAATCAGTCCTGGTTTAGTTCTCGTTCAGTCCTGGAATCAGTCCTGGTTTAGTTCTGGTTCAGTCCTGGAATCAGTCCTGTTTTAGTCCAGGTTTAGTCCAGGTTCAGTCCTGGTTCAGTCCTGGTCCAGTCCTGGTCCAGTCCTGGAATCGGTCCTGGAATCGGTCCTGGTTTAGTCCTAGTTCAGTCCAGGTTTAGTCCAGGTTCAGTCCTGGTTCAGTCCTGTTTTAGTCCTGGTTTAGTCCTGGTTTAGTCCTGGTTCAATCCTGATTCAGTCCTGGTTCAGTCCTGGTTCAGTCCTGGTTCAGTCCTGGTTCAGTCCTGGTTCAGTCCTGGTTCAGTCCTGGTTTAGTCCTGGTTTAGTCCTGATTCAGTCCTGGAATCATTCCTGGTTTAGTTCTGGTTTAGTTCTGGTTCAGTCCTGGAATCAGTCCTGTTTTAGTCCAGGTTTAGTCCTGGTTCAGTCCTGGTTCAGTCCTGGTCCAGTCCTGGTCCAGTCCTGGAATCGGTCCTGGAATCGGTCCTGGTTTAGTCCTAGTTCAGTCCAGGTTTAGTCCAGGTTCAGTCCTGGTTCAGTCCTGGTTTAGACCTGGTTCAGTCCTGGTCCAGTCCTGGTTCAGTCCTATTTCAGTCCTGGGTTAGTCTTGGTTTAGTCCATGGGCGGGTAATGGGTGGAATGTTCACAGGTCCAGGCGGGGGCAGGTTTCCAAAAATGGACCCGTGCAGGACTCTGGGTCGGGTCATGTTGGTCAAGTGCGGTGGTGGCCCAAAATGCCCCGTGGATTTATTTTTGCTGTTATCGCGTCAGCCCTACTGTGCCGTCTCTTTACACATAAATAAATAATAAAGTGTGCTGTGCAGAGAGTACCTCACCTTGATGATCATCTCGATCTCCATCCTGAGGCTCATCACCTCCAGAGTGACGGCTGCCACTCGGCCCACGTCCGGAGTCAGGATGTTCTCCGGGAAACTGAGTCCGTCTGGCTCCTGGAGAGAGTACCCGTACAGAGAGAGCACCCCACGACCGCCCTGAGACACAACACAGAACAATCTTTGAGAGAGCACCCCACGACCTCACAACAATCTATAAGAGAGCACCCCAGGTTCGGTCCTCGGTCCTGGTTTTCCTGGTTCAGTCTGGTTCAGTTGGTTCAGTTGGTTCAGTCCTGGTTTCCTGGTTCAGTCCTGGTTTAGTCCTGGTTTAGTCCTGGTTTAGTCCTGGTTCAGTCTGGTTCAGTCCTGGTTTCAGTCCTGGTTTTCAGTCCTGTTTAGTCCTGGTTCAGTCCTGGTTCAGTCCTGGTTCCTGTCCTGGTTCAGTCCTGATTCAGTCCTGAGTCCTCAGTCCTGGTTCAGTCCTGAGTCCTGGTTTAGTCCTGGTTCAGTCCTGTTCAGTCCTGGTTTAGTCAGTCCTGGTTCCTGGTTCAGTCCTGGTTCAGTCCTGTCCTCCTGGTTCAGTCCTGGTTCAGTCCTGGTTCAGTCCTGGTTTAGTCCTGGTTTAGTCCTGTCCTGTTAGTCCTGTTTTAGTCCTGTTTTCAGTCCTGTTCAGTCCTGTTTTAGTCCTGGTTTCAGTCCTGTTAGTCCTGGGTTTAGTCCTGGTTCAGTCCTGGTTCAGTCCTGGTTCAGTCCTGGTTCAGACCTGTGTTTAGTTGTCAGTCCCTGGTTTAGTCCAGTCCTGGTTCATCCTAGTTCAGTCCTTCAGTCCTGGTTTAGTCCTGGTTTCCTGTCCTGTTCAGTCCTGGTTCAGTCCTGGTTTACCTGGTTTAGACAGTCCTGTTTTAGTCCTGTTTACCTGGTTTCAGTCCTGGTTCAGTCCTGTTCAGTCCTGTTTTAGACCTGTTTGTTTTAGTCCTGGTTCAGTCCTGGTTCAGTCCTGGTTTTAGTCCTGAGTCCTGGTTCCAGTCCTGTTTAAGTCCTGAGTCCCTGGTTTAGTCCTGTTTTAGACCTGGTCCCCTGGTTCAGTCCTGTTTAGTCCTCAGTCCTGGTTAGTCCTGTTTTCCTGGTTCAGTCCTGTTTAGACCTGGTTTAGTCCTGGTTCAGTCCTGGTTTAGTCCTGGTCAGTCCTGGTTCAGTCCTGTTTAGTCCTGAGTCCGGTTCAGTCCTGTTCAGTTCCTGTTTCACCTGTTTCCTGGTTAGTCCTGGTTCAGTCCTGTTAGTCCTGTTTTAGTCCTGGTTTAGTCCTGGTTTCAGTCCTTCAGTCCTGGAGTCCTGGTTCCAGTCCAGTCTCTCCTTTCAGTCCTGGTTTCAGTCCTGGTTCTAGTCCTGTTTTAGACCTGTTTTAGTCCTGGTTATCCGTTGTTTTTTCATTTTGGTTTTGGAGACAAATAACGAAGCTAATCGTCGTTTTTTCGTTTTCTTATTTTTGGTTTTATTTTGAAAAACGAGTGAACGAACGACACACAGATTCCCTCACTCTTCTTTTTTAATCCTGTCCAGTAGAAATCCAAATAATCTACATAAAACCGTGAGTCCCGTCGGCGTTCCGTAGGATTTGGGGGAGGAGCCGAGTCGCTCACCTGGATGGCGTCGACCGTGGCCCTGAACACCGGGTTGTTGTGCTTCACCGTCCTCCAGAACTTGGGCCTGTTGGGGTTGGTGAGGTTACAGCCGTACTTCTCCAGAATGTTCAGAGCTGTGGACAACCTCTGCAGCGACGCCAGGGTCTGGAACGGAGAGAAACGAGTGAGGAGACGAGAGGAGGAGAGAGGAGGAGAGGAGGAGAGAAGAGGAGGAGACGAGAGGAGAGGAAGAAGAAGAGGAGGAGAAGAGGAGAGGAGGAGAGGCAGGAGAGGAGAGAGAGGAGGAGAGGCAGAGAGGAGGAGAGAGGAGAAGAGAGAGGAGAGAGAGAGAGAGAGGAGAGAGGAGAGAGAGAGAGAAGAGGAGAGGAGAAGAAGAGAGAGAGGAGAGAGAGAGGAGGAGAGACAGAAGAGAAAGAGAGAGGAGAGGAGAGGAGAGGAGGAGAGACAGAAGAGGAGAGAGGAGGAGAGAGAGAGGAGAGAGGAGAGAGAGAGAGAGAGAGAGAGAGAGAGAGGAGAGAGAGAGCAGAAGAGGAGAGAGAGAGAGAGAGAGAGAGAGAGAGAGGAGAGAGAGGAGAGAGAGAGAGAGAGAGAGAGAGAGAGACAGAAGAGGAGAGGAGAGGAGGAGAGACAGAAGAGGAGAGGAGAGAGAGAGGAGGTCAGAGGAGAGGAGAGTCAGAAGGTCAGAAGGTGAGAAGGTCAGAAGGTCAGACCTCTTTGCGGTTGCTCCCGGCGCTGTTCTCGATCACCAGCGTCTCGGCCGTGATGTGGTGATACTTGGAGCCCGGCGGCAGGGGCAGGTTGGCCATGGCCATGACGCCCGCCCACACCTCCACCTGCCGCTCGCCCGAGTACAGACACACCTCCGTCTGCGTACGAGTCTGCTGCAGCTGCTCCGACAGAGAACGCATCCTGCAGTCTACAGCGACCAACAAGACCTGGTTTAGACCCGGTTTAGACCCGGTTCAGTCCCATTTTAGTCCTGGTTTAGACCTAGTATAGTCCTTGTTTTAGTCCTTGTTTTAGTCCTTGTTTAGTCTTGGTTCAGTCCCTTTTTAGTCCCGGTTTAGTCCTTGTTTTAGTCCTGGTTCAGTCCCGTTTTAGTCCTGGTTTAGTTCTGGTTTAGTCCTTGTTTTAGTCCTTGTTTTAGTCCTTGTTTTAGTCCTTGTTTTAGTCCTTGTTCAGTCCCTTTTTAGTCCCTTTTTAGTCCCGGTTTAGTCCCAGTTTAGTCCTTGTTTTAGTCCTGGTTCAGTCCCGTTTTAACCCCATTTTAGTCTCGGTTCAATCCTGGTTCAGTTAGGGTTTAGCCCTAGTTTAGTCCTGGTTTAGTCCTGGTTTAGTCCTGGTTTAGTCAGTCCTGGTTTAGTCAGTCCTGGTTTCTTGGTTCAGTCCTGGTTCAGTATAAACTGGGATAAATCGGTAGTTTTATATCTTCGGGGACACAGACTCAAAACTGGGACTTTAAACGACTCACGATTCACGAACGAATCCTCCCTGCTCGTCGTAAACAAACTGAAGCCGATTTACAATTCATAACTCAGCTCTTTTCATTAAAAAAAAAAACAAAAACAAAAAAAAACAAAAAAACGTTTGTGTGCGATTTAAATGAACACAGAAATGCAGATCACGATTTTATTCACACACGTGGTTAAAACCTGACAGTCCCTCCGTGTCTCCGCGTCTCCTCCAGGACCACACCGACCCGACGCTCCACCGCAGACCGCTGCAGATGTGCCCTGGCCCGGCCTCGCTGCTGCAGCATCCCCCCTCCTGCCTCGTGCTCCTCCGGAAATCACGTAAAAATCCAAAACAAAAACATAAAAAAGCGTGTCCCCCTTCGCGCGTTTACGGCGTTTGACCCAGTCTCGGTGGCGCGTGTGAATATTTCGCGTGTAAACGGTGAAATGAGCCCGTTATTCACTCACCTGTCCGTGCGTCCCGTGCGTCCCGCGCGTCTGCGTCATGCCGGAGCGAAACGCGGACGCGGCGACGTACGGTTGTGACGTCATGCCGTGATGAAAACGCCACTGGAAAGAAATACGAGCTTTTTTGGCAGAAATTGTGTGACTATATTCATAAGTACATTGATAAACACTTTATTCTGCATTGGAAGAATGTACTGTTTGTCTTGTTTGAGTCTCATTTACAGAAAAGTTCGATCTACCTAATTAATCTCTTATTATTAATGTCAAAGTATCATATCCACGCGTGAAGATTTTCTGGTAAAAGGCTAAACCTTTGTTGCTTTCTATAATAGTTTCAGACAATACATTCTTTCGATTAAATTTTCAAAAAAAAAAACAGGAGGCGTCGATACTCTAGAAATCTGTACAGCTCTGAATGTTTTCACTTGAACTCTGACCCCCCCAGTGTGAAAGTAAAGCGTTTCCCCCTTTCCTGTCCTCTTTTATTCTTCTTTATGTCCTTCTTTCCTTTTTATTACTTTACTTATTATTTATATTATTTATAAATTCTGTACGATGCAGTTCTTGAATGTAAATCACAGTTCTTTGTACACTACATTATGTATACACCGCTTTATTTTTCAATTTAAAAGAAAGAAAGAAAGAAAGAAAGAAAGAAAGAATACGAGCAAAAATGTAAGAAGAAAGTAAAGAGGACTTGGTCCATTCCACATTTAACAGATTCTAATGGGAGCCTTATGAACCATGAACATCTTTTGTATAGAAATATGATTTAAAATGCTCAAAACGGCAATATGATACAGTCATCAAAACTCTCCCGTTAGAACTGTTGAGTTAGTGACATGTTGAGTTATGATAAAATTACACCAAAATTCCCTTTACTCACCATAGATGAATTTGAATTTAAAGACAAAAACAGTTTAAATAAAATAAGAATAATTATTATTACCAAATTGTGTCCTCTCCCATTAAAAAGAATTCGTGTACTTAGAGACTTTAGAGTTAATATCATTTTAAAAATTAGAACTAATTATCTCTCATTTCCAATCTCCTCTAAAGCCAAAGAAACTCACTTTAAAATGTGAAATGATATTGATCCCTGTAATGAAAACTTGAAAAAACGTTTTAATATGGAGACCAAAACCTGCACATTTTGTAACAGTGAAACAGAAACTGTTGAACATTTATTCTTTTATTGTAGCCGTGTTAGAACGTTTTGGGACTTGTTCCAAATGTGGATGGTGGAATATGACACTGATTATATGTAACTAATTAATATGTAAGTCTTTGTCTGCTGCATTGACCAGGCCCAGCTCAGCCTCTACAATGCAGCAGCTCCTTTTAACTGGAAAGAAGCGCATGGACCACATCACTCCTTCTTAAATCCTTGCATTGGCTCCCTGTACGTTTTAGAATCCATTTTAAAATTTTAATGATTGTTTTTAAGAGTCTTAATGGAATGGCACCGTCCTATTTATTTGAACTCCTTCAGTCTCATGTCCCATCCAGAGGTCTGTGCTCTGCAGACCAGCACCTCCTGGTTGTGCCCACACTGAAAAAACGGTCTGAGAGGGGTTGCTCAAATTGCAAAAACAAATTTGACAACAATAACATCACTTTTTTACGTTTCTCTGTCCAGCATGTTTAAATCTTACAAAGGTCGCTTGATTGTGGCCGATGTGAGACCTGCATATTTTCTCCTCCCCAAAACTTTTGGAGGGAAAATTCTAATGTAACAGGACACAGGACAGATACAGGAGCAGAGGAAACACAGTGTGGAGCAGGAGGATTATGAAGCTGATCTGGAGGGGAGACTTTTTAAAGATTTTATTATGTGCTTCTCCGGCCTAGAATGTCGTCATTGTTAAAACATGTTTGTGGTGTTTTATTTGAAATTAGAGTTAATGTCTCTTTGAAACAAATTGTCTTTGACTGTCCATCTACAAGAGTGTGACAGTTGTACTAAGATTTGAATGTGTTTGTTCCAGAGTCTTGTACAAACACAGAGTGACGTCCAGAGCTCTGCTGGAGCTGTGGGGAAGTTCATGAATGTTACAGCTGATGTTTCAGGAAAAAGGAAGATGTTTGAGAACCAACAAAACACAGACCACAGATGAACAAATAAGTAAAACAACTAAAATTATTTTAAAATTTTTCAAAATGAACTTCCTATTGAAACAGTTCGTGTTTGTACAGGGTGATGTGACACTAGGAGACTTTATACCAGATGCCCTCCCTGTTACTGTGTTTAGAGGAAGAAAAGCAGCACATGGTGAGTTTTCTTTCAGCAGATACACTTCTAATGTTCTTGTGATTCTCTTCTGGTCCATTATTGTAGTAATAAGTGCTTTAAATGTATTTAAACATGTACAACAGAGTAGATCATCAGAATGTGATCATCATGTGTTATTCTGTGTCCACAGGCAGAGACCAGAGCTTCTTCACTGGAGTAAATCTTCACACTGTCCAGCTCCAAACTGTGTGTCTCTGTACTCGTGTGTCTCTCTGTGTGTTTGATTCTGTTTAAGACAAGACAGAACTGTGTAAAACTAAAGACTGTTTTTGTATTCTTTTACAGAATTAGATCAATTAAATTAAATTATACATACTTATACATTTCATGATAAGGCAACATAAGATAAATATGTATATTCAGCATGATTTGATAAAATTTCATCAACATGAAAAAGTGATGTTCATGTTCTGAGAAAAGTATGTGTAGAGGAGATCGAAATAAGTTTCAAAGCCTAAACATAATTTTATTGCATGCAACCGCTTTCCAGAACTTTTTTACACAAATCCAGCAACCTTTTTTTTTAGTGCAGGACCAGGCTGAGGACCAGAGGAGAAGGATCTTCTCTGTGGAACACTTTGCCATTGCACATTAGAACTGCACAAACACTGGAGCACTTTAAATCCTCACTCAAAACGCACCTTTTCTCCCTGGCATTTGTCTAGAGTTAGGAAGAGACACCTTGGCACCTTGCAGTTATTTTATATATATATATATATATATATATATATATATATATATATATATATATATATATATATATATACTATTGCCGTTGCTTTGTCAGTTGTATGTTTTATTTCATTGTTCAGCGCTTTGGTAAGCTTTGGCTGTTTTAAATGTGCTATACAAATAAATTAGATTTGATTTGATTTAAGATTTACCTCATGTAACTTATAAAGATATAAAATATGGAGTAATTTTGCAAGACATCAAAAAGGAACTGTTCTATCATTCTTGTTTATTACTAGCCAAACAATCTATTCATAAATGCAAATTCTCAAATATAAACCCCTTGTTCAATATTTATCGTCATGATTTTCTGCAGTTTAAGAGATCCTTATGTCACATTAAATCTAAACAAGTAATTATATTAAATGATTTGATGCAGTCAGATACATAAGACCTCTTGTATTGTACTTTGTTGTATTAACATTGTATTGTGTGTATTTATTTTATTGATTTATTGTTGTTTTATTTTATTTATTTTATTGTTATTGTTAAAAAAAAAAAAAAAAAAAAAGTAGATAGTGGCAACCTGTAACATGACTAAAAACATTACACTGGAAATAAAATAAAATACATAAATAAAATTAAATAAAACAAACAAAAAAAGTAAAATAAAAAAAAAAATAAAAAAAATAATAAGACAAAATTAAACAAAAAAACAAAAAAAAAATTAAATAAATAATAAAATAAAATAAAAATATGGGCCTGCGGAGAATATTAAATTCTTGCTTGACTTTATTTCTTCTGGATAATAAATAACAAATTTTTATCGTTTGCCCTTCCTTGAACTGGTTTTAGCTATATTTAATTAATTAATTCATTCATTCATTCATTCATTTATTTTTATTCTATTTTATTAACTTATTTATTCAAATTAACTGAACAGATTGCTTCTTTGTCTGATTTTGTGCTTTCTGGATACTATTTTTATTGTTTTTTGCTTCTTGTTCAGCACTTTGTAAACCTTGTACTTTATAAATAATGATTTATTATTATTTTTATTATTATTAAGGGGCATTCCAAATAAATAAATAAATAAATAAATAAATAAATAATGCTTTTGAACCCCACTGTAAAATCGACTCTGAATCTTAGAAGGACGTTTCTGTTTAAATAATGTACACAAAATTAAAAATGGAGGCGGTTTCTCAGTGACGCGTTTATTGAAGGACAAACAAAACCGATATTTTGTGCTTTGTTTAAATTCACATTTGAGTTTGAACGGCGCACCCACAACAAAATTCTCAACACAACAACTCTACCGACAGAAAAATGACAAAATCTAAAAACAAAAGTGAAAGAAACTCCACCCAAATACACACGCCGCCGAAGTACTCAGAGTAATGGAGTAACTCTAGTAGTATTCGCTTCGAGGAAAATGTTGATCCTTACGCCCGGGATGGGAGACGTCTTTGTAAGGCATTTCGTCCGGCTTTGAATGAAGACCACACAAAGCCCATGACAGGAGTCTCCTCCAGATCCAGCCAAACTACTCCACCTCGTGACGCACAAAACCGGAGATTTCAACACAATATCACATGGAATTACATCTCCCCAAAACTTAAATCTAAAGATAATTATTTTAAATGCATCTGGTATTATGTTTTGACGATTAGAATTAAACGTGCATTAAAAAATCTGACGCAATTTGACCGTTTTAAGAGTTCAGTGGTAGATTTGTGGACGTTTTTCATTAGGATTATTTGGCAAAGCATTACATCATTAATATAATCATAATAATAATTACAAAAAAAAAAAAAAAGTGTTGCCAAAATTGTAACTGACATGATCCATCGGCCTGATCGTTTCATCTGGGACCTGGTTCAGTCCTGGTTCAGTCCTGGTTCGGTCCTGGTTCGGTCCTGGTTCAGTCCTGGTTCAGTCCTGGTTCGGTCCTTAAAGAGGGGGGTATTACACGTTCCATTTTTATTGTTTTGAAAATGCCAAATTTGTATTAACGGTAAGTTTCGCTTTCATTTTGGATGATTTTGAGTTCCTTTGCTCTCCACGCTAAGTCTCTCCCCCTTCAGAGCGAACACAGTCAGCGTGCGTCCCGCGACTGAAACGACTCCCCATCGGGTCTGTCCGGTTGCCGTGTAAAGTTTTGTATCGGACTAAAACAGGACTAAGCCAGGTCTAGACCAGGACTGAACCAGGACTGAACCAGGACTGAACAGGACTGAACCAGGATCACGCTTTGTGGGTTGGGGTTCTCTCTCTCGCTCTCTCTCAAGTCCAAGATTAGACCTAGTTCAATCCTGGTTTAGACCTAATTTAGATCTGGTTTACACCTAGTTTAGTCCTGTTTTAGACCTGGTTTAGTTATGGTTTAGTCCTGGTGTAGACCTAGTTTAGTCCTGGTTTAGACCTGATTTAATCCTGGTTTTAGTCCTGGTTTAGACCTGGTTTAGACCTTGTTTAGTTATGGTTTAGTCCTGGTTTAAACCTAGTTTAGTCCTGGTTTAGACCTGATTTAATCCTGGTTTAGTCCTTGTTTAGACCTGGTTTAGACCTGATTTAGACCTGGTTCAGTCCTGTTTTAGACCTAATTTAGTCCTGGTTTAGACCTGGTTCAGTCCTGGTTTAGTCCTGGTTCAGTCCTGTTTTAGACCTGGTTTAGTCCTGGTCCCTCATGTCTCGTCTCGAGCCTCATACAGAATCTGACCGTAATGAAAGTTTGAATAGAGAGAGAGATCGCTAGATTAGTCAAACATGCATGAATGGCCTCTAAAACCCCCTCTTTTCTTTCTTTCTTTCTTTCTTTCGGAGTTTTGGCTTCGTTTAGTCCTGGTTTAGTTTCCTTCTGATCTTTCGACAACATCGAGTTGAGCGTCTCAGGCAAATATCATCTCATGCTGGAACAATGAAGAGAAATTTGTAGTTTATTTATTTATGGGGGTTTTTTTTTCGCGTGGGGAAAGACAACGTCAAATAAAGATCTGAATTTCCACTTTGAGTTTCGACGATCAGGTGAAATAAGAAGTCACAGAGTTCTGAGCTTGACCCTGCAGAGTCCACGGTGTTTACAAGTTTAAAAAAAACAAAAAAAGGATCACGGGAAAGATCCAGGATCATGTCCAAAAGAGACAGAGAAACGGTTCAGAGTTTAGGATAAGTTAAGGTTGAGGTTGAGTATCTGTGTGCCGTTTGTTCATTTGTTTTTCAAAATAAAACCAAAAATAAGAAACGAAAAAAACAACGATTTTCTTCATTACTTGTCTCCAAAAAAAAAAAAAAAAAAAAAGACAAAACAGATAAAGATTTGTTTTTTTCAGTTTTTGATTTTGTGTTCAAATGAAAAATGGAAAAAAAAACGGATAACGGACTCAACCGGGACTAAAACAGGTCTGGGAAGAGACTGAAACCAGACCGGGACTGAGACCAGGGCTTAGACTGAGACCGAGAGCAGGACCAGGACTGAGACTGGGACCAGACCGAGATCAGACTGGGACCAGACCGGGACCATACTGGGACTGAGATCAGGACCAGACCAGGACTGAGACCGAGACTGAGACCAGGACTGAAAATGGTTTAGTCCTGGTTTAGTCCTGGTTGAGTCTTGTTTTAGTCCTGGTTTAGTCCTGGTTCAGTCCTAGTTCAGTCCTGTTTTAGTCCTTGTTTAGTCCTGTTTTAGTTCTGGTTCAGTCCATTATCCATTTTTTTCCATTTTTCATTTAAACACAAAATCAAAAACTGAAAAAAACAAATCTTTATCTGTTTTTTCATTTTGGTTTTGGAGACAAATAATGAGGAAAAAATATATATATTTTTTTCATTTTCTTATTTTTGCTTTTATTTTGAAAAACAAATGAACAAACGACACACAGATTCTTGAGGTTCCTGTTTCACCATGAACATTTTAAACTCTGAAACTCGACCTTTTCCAAACATCACATCATCTTTGTTTGTGCATTTCTTTTTTTTATTATCACAGTCACAAAGGCCGGCTCACACTGGAGCTCCTAACGCCCGGTCTAGACCCGGATCAGCACCACCTTGGGCCTCAGTCAGGTCTAAACTGCCTGTCCTCATTCAGCAGGTTGTGAGTTTGATTCCCTGTTAGTCCTCGTTTGGTCCATCACATCTGCGTCTCACAGTGTGGGGAGAGACAGCCCTCCTGGACGTGGTTGCCCCTCCGGTCGCCCGACTCACTGCCCGCCTCCGCCCCGTCCACGGCCCTCCTCTCCTGGGCACAGTTGCTCTTGGGGGTGCTGCTCCCGGAGGCGGCGGGCCGCTCCAGGTGGTTCCTCCCGGGGCTCAGCGCGGCTCCGGCCTCCGCCTCCGAGATGTGGGCGGACGGGTGGAGGGGGGAGACGTGTTTGGACGAGGGCAGAGGCGAGAGGCGGGTGCCCACGCCGTCTCCCGCCGCCAGCTCGGAGAGGCGCGAGTCTGCCGAGGAGATGGGGGTCATGACGGCGGTGAGGATGTCGTCTTTGGCGCCGATGTAGTCCACCCGGAGGCCCCTGGAGCGGCCTGGGCTGGCCCTCAGAGCGCTGCACAGGCTCTCGTAGGTGGGCCCCGCGCTCTCTTTCGCCCCCCTCTGCTCGCTCGGGGTGCTGACGATCTCGTACACGCCCTCTTTGATGATGTCCATGCCGGCCTGCAGACCTTCGGCGCCGCCTCGCTGCTCCAGGGCGCTGATGCTGCTCAGGTCCAGGGGAGGGGGGATGCGGTACCTGCTGGCAGAGCCTCTCCGCTCTGAGCTGGAGCCTCTCCTGCAGGAACAGAAGTCAAGATCATTCAGTTTATCGATAACTGTGATTACTCAGGTCACAAGTAATATTTGAAACAATTTTAGAAACAAAATTTGTTTAGTTTGATTTAGTTTAGTTATTTCAAGTGTCTACGTCACAATAAGTTTCATGTTACCGTATTTTTCGAACTATAAGTGGCACTTTTTGTGTTTCCTGTTAGCCAGGCTGGCGCCACCTAGTGCCTCCACTCAGTTTCATTTCTCTCCAGTGACTAGATCAGGAATCAGAATATCACTAGACGATTCACAAAAACCCTGGAAGTGTGAGTTCGGGCACCAGCCAATCAGAGAAGACCCAGACATTCAGTGTTGACAACGATTCCCGAGATCGAGGATTTAAAGCCAGAATAAAGAGAATGTTTGGTGAATTTTATCAAGGGGAAAGACGTTATTGTCCTTCTTCCTACAGGATTTAGGAAAAACTTAATATACCAGTTAGTAAAAAAGGGCAACTTATATATGTTTTTTCTTATTCATTATGCATTTTTTGGCTGGTGAGACTTACACTCCGGAGCGACTTATAGTCAGGAAAATACTGTATATAACGTTGATAATGATGTGATTTTTAAAAGAGGAATTGTGGAACCAGAAAAAACAAAAATGTGTCAGGTACAGGGTGCTCTTGGAAAAAGGATCAAAGCTTTAGACACAATGAAATCCAGGCATCCAATCGCAAAAGTATTGTTAAAAGACTTTTATTTAAAAAGCCAAAGCCCATGCCTTCAATTTTTACCTAAGCCCAGTCATGGTCGAAACATGTTATAAATAATAATAAATAAAGCGTTTTAACTACTGTAAAATAGTGCAGGTGTATATTTTGATTTAAAAAAAAAAAAAAAAGTAGAGTCTAATGTAAAAAAACAAAAAAAAAACCAAACAAACAACAAATTAAGGAAGAAGACGTGACCACTGACGCTGCACGTTTTTCTTCTTCATCTGTTTTGTTTTGCTTTGTTCTTCCGTTGCTTATCATGTTTTCTTTCAGTCTTTGACCACATTGTTGATCGCCATGGCTCCGGTGCAGAAAAAAAACAAAAAAAAAAAACTTAAAATGTCGATTTTCTGTGGTAAAATATGCAGAGGAAAAGTCGGGAGAAGCAGCTGCGAGATGTTTTTCTGTCAACCTCCAGAGAGTGAGAGACGAGGCAGCAGGAATTGTGCCAACTCCAAGGTGTGCCATAAAACTCAGAAGAATTTGAGTACCATATTTTCCCAGTTTACAGGATTTTTGTGAGGAAGGAATTGATCTACTGCCCCAAATTGCCTCCTGGTCTCAAATAAAAGCCTGGTCTGTTAAGTGATTGAAACAAATACACGCCCCGGATATTATTTGGGATTTTACGGTGTATTTTTTCTGTTGTGACTTTTACTTCTTGGAGTGCCTGGATTTAATTTGATTTGTGGAACAACTTTAGAATAACTACACTCATGGTTCATGTTTTCGTGCCGAATGTTTCGGTACAGGATCTTTGGTTCTGTGCAGGTCTGTGCACGAGTGAGTTTGCTCAGTTTGTGTGTGTTTACATTCCACCACTACATGTGCAGCTCCACTAGGGTCACCATATTTCCATTTGTGAAAACCAGGACACCGTACGGGGGCGGGGTCTAGTCATCAACATTGAGCTACTCTCACCTGGCAAAGCTTTTTAAAGGGCCCATCTGATGCAAAATAACTCTTTTCACATTGTATCTTCTGCACATAAACAAGCACAATTTGGGTTTTGGAACATCCATGACACAATAGTTCTGAAATCTTACTGATTTCTTGGAGACAGTCACAGACCAGGAACTATGAAAGTCCGACTATTGCTCCTCCCCCCACCCGTCCTGAAAAAGCACAGGCTCCGCCCTCCAAACGTGACGTAGGCGACGAGTGAGCCGCCCTTCCTCCGCCATCTCAGGGAGGGAGGGGGAGACAGACGTGCACCCTGATAGCGGCAGGAATAAACTTTTATTCATCATGGAGATACAGCGCGTTCAGCCGCATGTGTTGGACCCGGAATCGGATGAGGACTTTGAGGAGCACGAAGCTCAAGCACCGCGTCCACATCAGCTGAACATTACTGATTGGTAAAGGATTAATAAACATGAGTAGATAAACTTATTATATCGTGAACACTGCAGTGTAGAACAATGAGCTTATGCTGTTGCTTTTGTGAAACTCTTTCTTCTATGTCAAGCATGTCATAGGTGTAGCTGCCGCGTCCTCGTTGTAGCAGCTTTAGTTTGTTGTCACGTGGGAGGGTGGCAGAAATACGCCACAATTTGTTTAAAAAAAAAAAAAAAAAAGCCAAATCAATCTAAAAACCACTTTGACGACAAATACAAGGCCCACACATCACTCTTAGAAGGTAAAAAGATCTGAAAAGTTGATTTTGCATGAGATGGGCCCTTTAATGTTTTACGGTGTCCTGTTGCTTTGAGGTCCCTGAAACCACCACTGGACACCGAAGCATATGTGCCTGCTTTGTACATGGCACATGGAAAGAGGGGAATTTCTTGTACAAGGCATCGTTAAATACGCATTTCCGCATCGGCATGTTGCAGACTGACCGACTGTTTGTGTCTGCTCGCTCTTTTCTGATGCACAGAGAACTACGAGAGCAGATCAGTTTAATGACCCCAATGAAAGGAAATGAAAACCTGGACATTTACATCACTTTATAAAAGAAACCCGGACGGGGAAAAATGGATGTTTAGTCACTCTAACCTACATGGAGGCTCTGCTCTTTAATATTACTCAGGGTTGGGGGCACTTTATAGTTAGGGTGGCCACCTTGACAGCAATCACCCCCGCCTTGACTACGTCCCTCTGAACCACGTGAATCCTGCAAAACTACAGTAGTTGCGCCATGGTCCTCACTTTTGCCTTTTACACCCCCCAATTTAAAAGAAATTGTTGCTTTAATAAAAACACAAGTAAACAACAAACAAATGGTTCTGCATTTTGTTCCCAAACTGTACCAAACCTCAAAACCGAGGTATGTACCAAACTGTGATTTTTGTACCATTACACCCCTAGTGGTTATTATAAAGTCTTACCATCGAACGTAAATGTAAGAAAATTCAGGATCTCACTGTTGTTTGCAAAGTGAATAAGAGTGAATAATCGTGATGTTTCTTACAGTAATGATCATAACTCAAAGCTTTGATGACCTCTGTACCTGTTTGCGATGCTCATCTCCGCGGACGAAAGCGGCTTCATCTCCAGCGGTTTGTCCAGGATGGACTCTGGCTCCTGGCTCTTCTCCGGGGTCCCTTTGTTGGACCTCTTGCCCCGCTCAGGTGAACCTCTCTGGGTCACCTCCTGGTACTGAGTCTGGGAGCGTCCGGGGCTGGACTCTGAGTTTGAGTAATGCTTGTGGTAGCTCCAGCGACTCGGCGACAGGTGATTCTCCACGGCGAGGAGCTCGTTTTCGTCTTTCTTCTCCACCAGAACATCCGTGAGCTCCATACTCCGCACGAACGCGTCTTTTACGTTGATGGAGATGATGCTGCCGCTGCGTTTGGCCCTCTCCAGCGCCTCCCTCCGCTTTATCGCCTTCTCCTGACGCTTTTGCTCGCGGTAGAACTCCGAGAAGTTATTGACGATGATCGGGATTGGCAACGCGATCACCAAGACGCCCGCGATGCAGCACAACCCGCCGACTATCCTGCCCAGCAACGTCTGCGGGTAGATGTCGCCGTACCCGACCGTCGTCATCGTGATCGTCGCCCACCAGAACGAGGCGGGGATGCTGGTGAACTTTGTCGCGTCTTCATCTTTCTCGGCGAAGAAAACCAAACTGGAGAATATCATGATGCCCATCGCTAAAAACAAAATGAGGAGCCCCAGTTCGTTGTAGCTTCGCCGCAACGTGAAACCGAGCGACTGAAGCCCGGTGGAGTGCCTCGCCAGCTTCAGGATCCTCAGTATTCTCATGATCCTGAAGATCTGCACGACGCGGCGGACGTTCTGGAACTGCAGCACGCTCTTGTTGGACTCGGTGAGGCAGAGCGTGACGTAGTAGGGCAGGATGGCGAGGAGGTCGATGATGTTCAGGGGAGCTTTGATGAAGTCCCACTTGTTCGGGGCCGAGATGAGGCGCAGGACGTACTCCATGGTGAACCAGGCGATGCACACGGCCTCCACGTGCGCCAGACTCGGGTTGTCGTTGAACTGGCCGAACTCGTCGACGACCTGCAGCTCCGGGAGGGTGTTCAGAGACAGAGAGATGGTGGAGATGATGATGAAGAGGATGGAGATCATGGCCAGGATCTGATGAAGAGAGAAACAAAGAGGGTGAGTGAAAAATGTTGAAGATTTACACTTTTTTGTTCTTCTTCTGTTGTCGCTTCATTAAAACGGCTCAGTAACATAACAAAACAAAACAAAGGCTACAAACGCATGTCTTCGTGTGTCGTTCGTTCATTCGTTTTTCAAAATAAAACCAAAAATAAGAAAATGAAAAAACAGAAATTTTCTTCATTATTTGTCTCCAAAACCAAAATGAAAAAAAAAAAAAAAAAAAAACAGATAATGATTTGTTATTTCAGTTTTCAATTTTGTGTTTAAATGAAAAATGGAAAAAACTGAAAACGGACTGAACCAGGACTAAACCAGGTCTGGGACCAGACTGGAACCAGACCAGAACTGAGACCAGGACTGAGACCAAGATTGAGACCGGGAACAGGACCAGGACTGAGAACGGGACCAGACACGGACTGAAACCGGCAACAGACCGGGACCAGACTAGGACAGAGGTCGGGACCAGACCAGGACTAGACCAAGACTGAGGCTGGGACCAGACCAGGACCAGACCATGATTGAGACTGGGACTGAGACTGGGACTGAGGCCGGGACCAGACCTGGACTGAAAATGGTTAAGCCCTGTTTTCATTCTGTTTTAATCCTGGTTCAATCCTGTTTCAGTCCTGTTTTAGTCCTGTTTTAGTCCTGGTTCAGTCCTGGTTTAGTCCTGTTTCTGGCCCTGGTTTAGTCCAAGTTTAGTCCTGGTTCAGTCCTGGTTTAGTCCTGTTTCTGGCCCTGGTTTAGTCCAAGTTTAATCCTGGTTTAGTCCTGGTTTAGTCCTGGTTCTAGTCCTGGTTCAATCCTGGTTCAATTCCGGTTTAGTCCCAGTTTAGTCCTGTTTCTCGTGCTGGTTTAGTCCAAGTTTAGTCCTGGTTTAGTCCTGGTTTATCCTCGTTTTTAAAGACTTCTACAGTGTTAGACTTTATTACAATCATCAAAATCAAAATCGATTGTTCCATAAACAAACCCCTCAAACAGAAATACAGTCATCTTTCTTTTTTTTCTTTTTTTTAGGTTCAGATTTAATGACCAAAGGAAAAAAGAACAAACTACTAAACTTCACTTCACAATTTTCGTCACCAGAAATTGAAATTGAAATTGAAAGCACAACTGAATCATTTGTATTTATATTGGAATAATGACTTATGGGTCTTGAAAGAAGCACAAGTGAAACAAACCAGTGGATACAACGAGAACAGTTGAGCCCAAACACGACTAAATCCCACTAAAGCCTCTTCTGTTCCACACACACACACACACACACACACACGGAGACAGCGCCCCCTCCTGGACATCACACTCTGCACACTTTAAGCTGCTTTAAAAACATAAGAACACATGAACACAACAGAGATTACAGGTGTACGATTACAAAACCCACCCACGACCTCTGACCTCTGACTGCCCTCTGCCCACCTCACCTCGCGCGATGTCACAGGGCCCAAGGACCGGGAAGTGCTCAGGTCACATGATCACCAGGTCACATGACACTCAGGTCTGGACACAGGTTTGTTAAGATCAGTAAAGGTACAAACTCAGGAGTCCTCAGCATTTGACCCAATGTCTCTGGGTTCTCTGGTCTCTGGTTTTAGTCCTGGTTTAATCCTGGTTTTGTCCTGTTTCAGTCCTGGTTTAGTCCTGGTTTAGTCCTGATTTAGTCTTGGTTCAGTCCAGGTTTGGTCCTGGTTCGGTCCTGGTTTGGTCCTGATTTAGTCCTCGTTCTAGTCCTGGTTTTGTCCTGTTTTAGTCCTGTTTTAGTCCTGGTTCTGTCCTGGTTCAGTCCTGGTTTAGTCCTGGTCTAGTCCTGGTCTAGTCCTGGTTTAGTCCTGATCTAGTCCTGGTTTAGTCCTGGTCTAGTCCTGGTTTAGTCCTGATCTAGTCCTGGTTCAGTCCTGGTCTAGTCCTGGTTTAGTCCTGGTTCAGTCCTGGTTTAGTCCTGGTTTAGTCCTGGTCTAGTCCTGGTCTAGTCCTGGTTTAGTCCTGTTTCAGTCCTGGTCTAGTCCTGGTTCGGTCCTGGTTTAGTCCTGGTTTAGTCCTGGTTTAGTCCTGGTTTAGTCCTGGTCTAGTCCTGGTTTAGTCCTGGTTTAGTCCTGGTCTAGTCCTGGTCTAGTCCTGGTTTAGTCCTGGTTTAGTCCTGGTTTAGTCCTGGTTTAGTCCTGATCTAGTCCTGGTTTAGTCCTGGTTTAGTCCTGATCTAGTCCTGGTTTAGTCCTGGTTTAGTCCTGGTTTAGTCCTGGTTAGTCCTGGTCTAGTCCTGGTTTAGTCCTGGTTTAGTCCTGGTTTAGTCCTGGTTTAGTCCTGGTTTAGTCCTGATCTAGTCCTGGTTTAGTCCTGGTTTAGTCCTGTTAGTCCTGGTCTAGTCCTGGTTTAGTCCTGGTTTAGTCCTGGTTAGTCCTGGTTTAGTCCTGGTTTAGTCCTGGTTTAGTCCTGGTTTAGTCCTGGTTTAGTCTGGTTTAGTCCTGGTTTAGTCCTGGTTTAGTCCTGGTCTAGTCCTGGTTAGTCCTGGTTTAGTCCTGGTTTAGTCCTGGTTTAGTCCTGTTTAGTCCTGATCTAGTCCTGGTTTAGTCCTGGTTTAGTCCTGGTCTAGTCCTGGTTTAGTCCTGGTTTAGTCCTGGTTAGTCCTGAGTCCTGGTCTAGTCCTGGTTTAGTCCTGGTTTAGTCCTGGTTTAGTCCTGTCCTGTTTAGTCCTGATCTAGTCCTGGTTTAGTCCTGGTTTAGTCCTGGTTTAGTCCTGGTTTAGTCCTGGTCTAGTCCTGGTTTAGTCCTGGTTTAGTCCTGGTGTCTGGTCTAGTCTGGTTTAGTCCTGGTTTAGTCCTGGTTTAGTCCTGGTTTAGTCCTGATCTAGTCCTGGTTTAGTCCTGGTTTAGTCCTGTTTAGTCCTGGTTAGTCCTGGTTTAGTCCTGGTTTAGTCCTGGTTTAGTCCTGGTTTAGTCCTGGTTTAGTCCTGGTTTCTCTGTGCTCTTGAGTGTCTTTGGGGCATTAATCTCTTGATCAGATTGACGTTGGTGCCAGAGTCTTTGCCTGAAGTCCGACTCCGAGAACTGCACAAAAAAACTAAAACCGGCCGCGATCAGAACGATTAAAAAAGAAACACGAAACAAACCCAAACTCCGCCCACATTCGAAGTGCGAAGTGTCTTGCCCAAGGACACAACAAAAAAAACCTGAAATGACTGAAAATAAATGTTAAAAATAAGCGGAAAAGGGGCAGATTAGATAAAATAACTCTTCTTTTTTTTTTTTTTTACACACATGCTTCTTGTGGGTGTGACATAAAGAGATCTTGAAGGCCCAGGTGCATTGTGGGAGCAGATTTAACCTTGACGAGGAGCAGATTAAAGCGGAGACGGCGAGGGAGCGACCATCTGCCGCCGGCGCTCTGATCACACTCGCACTCGAACAGAAAACTTTCAGAAAGCTTTTAAACCACTTTCAAACCGCAGATCTGAGTTTACTTCCCCTCAGACCGAGTCCTGGTCTAGTCCCGGTCTAGTTCTGGTTTAGTCCTGGTCTAGTCCTACTCCAGTCCTAGTCTAGTTCTGGTTCAGTCCTGCTCTAGTCCCGGTCTAGTTCTGGTTTAGTCCTGGTCTAGTTCTACTCTAGTCCTAGTCTAGTTCTGGTCTAGTTCTGGTTCAGTCCTGGTCTAGTTCTGGTTTAGTCCTGGTCTAGTCCCAGTCTAGTTCTGGTTCAGTCCCTATTTAGTCCTGGTCTATACCTGGTTTGGTACTGGTTCCGTTCTGGTTTGGTCCTGGTTTAGTCCTGAAGTAGGGTTTGTTCAGTCCTGGTCTAGTTCTGTTCTAGTCCTGGTTCTGTTCTAGTTTGGTCCTGGTTTAGCCCTAAAATAGACTGGGTTCAGCCCTGGTTTAGTCCTGGTCTAGTCCTGGTCTAGTCCTGGTTTAGTCCTGGTTTAGTCCTGGTCATTTGGATTATTTCAGTCCTGGACTTGTCCATCTCTACTGATAAACTGGTAAAAGGAGCTCAAAAACTACCACTTCATGACATCATAAGATGGAACAGAGCATTTACACAAACGTCTGCTCCACAAATGTTTCTCAGGACTAAACCAAAACCAAATCAGAATTAGACCAGGACTAGTTCCTCATTTCCTCGTGAGCCAGAGTGTTGGAGACGTGTGGAGACACTTTTTAAAATATTCCATCCGGTCCTTGTATTTGCAGAGGTCTTACCTACGGAAGCCGAGAGGCAAACACAAACACCACAACAAATACAAATGTGACAACACAACAAAAAGCCACAACAAACCCAAAAAAAAGCCACAACACACCAAAAAAGACAGAACACATAAAAAAAGCCAGAATACAACAAAAAGCCACAACAAACCAAAAAAAGTTAAAACACACCCCCCCAAAAAAGCCACAACACCAAAAAAGCCAGAACACACACAAAAAAGCCAGAACACACACAAAAAAGCCAGAACACAACAAAAAGTCACAACAAACCAAAAAAAGCCAGAACACACCAAAAGAAAACAACAACAACAGAACACAACAAAAAGCCACAACAAACCAAAAAAAAAGCCAGAACACATCAAAAAGCCACAACGGAATTGACAGCGGGAATCTATTTTAATGCAAACGCCGCAACAAATACAAACACCACAACACAAACGCAAATGCCGCAACACATTAAAAAGCCACAACACGTTAAAAAGTCACAACGGAAGTGACCGCGGGACTCTATTTTTCGACGGACCGATCAAGCGGCAAGTGAAGAAGAAGAACTACAACGTGAAAAGTAAAGGAACTGAGAAGATGAAAACGTAAGTAAAAGTAATTTATTGTTTTATCATTATTCGTTTCACGTTGTACAATAATCATCATTATTGTTTATTAATTCTGTTCTGAGCTTTTTGTTGAGTCACTTATACCTTTTTAGTTTTTAATTTGTGTAGTAGTAGTAGTAGTAGTAGTAGTAGTAGTAGTAGTAGTAGTAGTAGTAGTAGTAGTA